TTTCATCAAAAAATTGAATTCTTGGGGTTCTTTGATATGCTGAATCTAACCATGTATTTAGATTTTGGATATTGGACCATAATAGGTGAATGTCCAATTTAAAATTTTTAAGTTCTTAGACCACATTCATTCTGTGTCAGAAACCTATGCTGTGTCAAATATTTAATCACAATCCAAATGCAAAGCTGTATCAAGCTTGAATGTTGTGTCCATACTTGCCCCAACTGTTCAGGGTTCGACCTCTGCGGTCGTATCAAGCTGCGCCCTGCGGAGCATTTTATTCTTATTTAAATTGATATAAAGAAGGGATATGGTGAACAAGATCCCAACACAAAATCAGAACATGTATTACTGTCATAGAATGCCTGACAATATCACTTCGACATTTATATAAAGGGACAATCACAGGACACTTTGAGATATAAGTTAATACTTAGCAATGTAAAATAGCATAAAAAGGACAAAAATTGTATGTTTATATGTACCACATATGAAGGCATATGACATGCAGAGAGCATGGTATTTCCTCAATAAGATTGTATTATGATATGAGGAATTTTGTCACTCCCTGATTTAAATTTGATAAATAAATACACAGAACAAAAAGAAATGCAATTGGAAAACACACTTCCCTTTCATCAGAGACATATATATGTATCTGCTTTCATCAATCTACATTGACATTGGACTCCTTGTAACACATTAATTAAAACAGCAACAATTAATACAAGTTCATGAAACGATCTACATGGTTAATATTATACTATAGAGTAATGTCATTGTTCTCGATGCAACCATCCAACAATGAAACACAACCCATTTGAAACTACCTAAAATAAAACTGCCATTCTACTTTAATAGTCCACATTACAAGCAGAAGTGCAAACATCCACTTATCATAACAAGCAGGACATCCACAAATCTATCTGTAGAGCGTTGCATGTTGTCAGTTACCATCAGCAAAATACTAACATTCACTGACAATTCTACCAGTGACAACATATTTAGCATTGCCTCTTACAAACCACAACCAACAGAACAGAAATTTCAGCCCTGATCATACCCTGAAAAAGGCTTAGAATCCACTGGTTTTAAGATAATCAATTTTCAGTAATCCACTATTAGACAATAAAACTTCAATAATCCACTAATTGATAATTGTGGAATTTACATGTCCACAACCAGAAGGAAATAATCATCTACCAATCACGACATGAAGAAGGCTAAGGGTAAACCAACAGGAACATCACAATATATATACTAATTTATATGTTGTTTTTTTTCAAGCCTGCAACATTTATGTCGTGAAAGTGATACACAGCGATCCTAGGTTATGTCGTTGGCGTCTGCAGCATCAACATTTAGGATCAGTCTGTAGTTAAAGTTTATTAGACATCAATAATTTTGTCAAACCTTCATGGAATTTTATGAAATTTGGACAGAAGCTTGTTTATGACCGAAATACAGTCTCTAGAGCAAAATTTTGAAAATATATATTTTCATTTTTCCTGTATTTTACTGATAAAAAGACTTAGTTGTTTTACAGTTAACATTCAGATTCAGTCTGAGGTTCAAATTTTTCAGTCATCATTAACTTTGCCATCCCTTCATGGAATTTTATGAAATTTGGACAGAAACTTGTTAATGACCAAAATACATTATCCAGAGCAAAATTTTAAAAATATTTATTTTTCATTTTTCAGTATTTTACTGATTAATGGACTTAATTTTTTTTAATAGTTACATGTAACAAGTAGATACAGTCTGGGGTTAAAGTTTGTTACACATTCATTACTTTGTCAAACCTTCATAGAATTTTATGAAACTTTGGCTTAAGCTTTTTTATGATTAAGAGATAATGTCTGAAACAAACTTTCGAAAATAGATTTTCATTTTTAGTATTTTTCTGATGGATGGACCCTTTTGACATGATAAATTTGTAAACCTTCATGGATTGTTATGAAACTTGGACAGAAGCTAATCTTAAAATCTAAGAAATAGCATCTAAAGAAAAAAGTTTGATTTTTTTTTAAATTCTGTATTTTACTGAAAAAAATGGACTCACTTTTTAAGTCAACATTACACTTTTACACTGACAGCTGCAATCGCAGACAAAACACAGGGCTCCACAGATTTTTTGTTGTTGTACTGACTCATAGTAAGAGCAGTTTATCTCATAGGTTGCAGTTGTACAATATTGTGACCGTCTGCAAAGAAGGATTTTGATTAATATAACTAAAATCCACTTACAGCTGTTGATCTGTCCATTAAATGAAACAAACAGTCATTTAATTGATATTGTTTATTTCACATATTCTTCGCATTGTTAAAAATGTTCTAGAGAAACCTAATAAGGCTGTTTTCATGAAATTGTTTCCGTAACAATAATCACGATGTAATAGTCTCGGAAGCTGTTAAAGACATTTGATATTGAAAAGCTTGTAATATTATAGCATAAATGATTGATTTTATACACTGAATGTCTTTTTGTAGTGTGTAATGAACTTGTATTCTGTTATGCAGTTTGTCAGAAAGTTATGAGAAGAGAGTACATATATCTTGTGATTCATCTTTTCTGACATATGTTTTTAGTTATGATTCCAATTGTTTTTTTATTTTGCATTGATTATGGTATGCTGTAAATGTGTTCATCTTCATGTCGTCAAACTTTCACAATTCTCAAGGTCTGTTTTTCTTGAGTTGTCCTTCTTGATGACTTTCACATTTGTCAAGGACTTTTTGTCTTGAGTTGTCTTTCTTGATTTGTCAATTTCTGTGAGTGTCAATTGTCATTTGTAATTTGTCACATATGTAATACATTAGCATTCTAGATATTATAATCATGTATTTAATGGTTTTGTTCATTGTAAAAGGAAATCATATATTATTGGCTGGGGCCTTGGCAGACTTGGGTTTATTTTTGTGGATAGATGAATTCCACAAAATTAAATACCCAAATGAAAAATTTAACCAAAAAGAAAATTACTTTTATTTACTGGAAGCCATGTCAATGAATCCAAACAAAATCAATTTTTGAGGCAAGACCACCAAATTTTAACCTCTGGAAAATTAATGTTTCTACAGTAGTTAATATAATGTGTCAGGCATCTTCATGTCTTGGCAAAAATCTGTTTCTTTAAATAACTTTTTATAACTTTATTTACCATTTGAATTGGATTATCGAATCTACTTAATGATGTTTTGTCATGAGATGATTAACTTTCTTGATAAAGATAGTGTTCCTTAACAAATAGGAAATATGTTTTAATATAGGGAAAAGTAATTGATATCTTTTGTTGTTGATGGGACACTCTTGCCTTTTAAATCTTTGTGTGCTTTTATTTTCTAATTTTGTCATTAGGACAGACAGGAAATTACTTCCCTTTAACAAAAGACTTATGTAATAGATATGGATGAAATATTAAGGAAGTTCTGTTTAGAAATTAAATTACTTTTATAACTTTCTCTGAGATTGAATTGTTTTGTAGATTTTGAATAAGTGAGTCATTAATGTTTCTGAAAGAATTCCAATATCTCAAAAGGAATTGTTAAATATTTGTGACGTTATTTTGGTTACTCGGAAACCTGAATGTTACCATCCCAAGATTTGACATAAATCTGTAACTTAAAAGCAGTTATAAAGATATTTTGAATCTGTATGCCTGTAATGTTTGTCAGCTCTTTGATAAGAGAATGACTTATTTAGATTTTATTGGGAATGATGGGAGAAAAAAACAAGTAAAGATTATGTAAGCATCTTGTGATAAAACATAGCCAAGTAATTGATGTCAGTATGCAGTTGATATATTTTGCAACTGATCAAATTATATACAAAATATTTTGAAAATGTTTGATGTTAATGATTATTGAATATATAGAGATTGGTTTAAGCTAGTGGTGGGTTTATAAGGTACAATTTTCCAGCCGATTTTTTTACCTGTAATGTTGTTTTCACAAAAATCCCACCATGTGAATTCTAAAATCGGATGTTGTTTGGTTAATCAAATGGAAAATCGTAACATGTGAACAGAACACTGTATGATTTACCTGGGCAATGGTATCAAATCATATTGAAAATTTGATGGAAAATCGTAGTCAGTGCGTAAATGCACCGTAAGGCACCTTTAACAATTGTTAGTCATTACTCACTTGGACAACTGGTTATAATAACATATGTTAAATTTTGATTCTTGTCCACTATTCCTTTCCTGTCATTGTTTCAAATATGTTTGAATATTTTAATAAGGGGAGCAAACTCCTAGAAAAAGTCACCAGAGCTCTTTGACCTATTGCATCAAGTTCAGTTGTAACTTACAATTAAACAAAAACCTTACGAGGATAACTTTTTCAAAGTTAAAAATGTAGAAGATGATCTTGACCTCATTTTTCTGCTTATAATCCAAGGAAATATCATATCAAAAGAATCTAGGCCACTATGACTTATGGTTAATGAGAAATAAATAAACAAATATAATGTAGCAGGGCTAAACATGGTCCCCCTATGTATAATTTGTTCGAATAAATGTATAACCATTACGAATGATTCAAGGTATAAGTATGTTTATTCAACAAGAGCAGAAAAAATTCCAAGACCACCAACGGGTCTTCAATACAGCGAAAAAATCCCGCACCTGGAGGCGGGCTTCAGCTCAGGCCCCTGAACAATAATGTATACTCAGTTCAGCAAAAATGGACGTCACACTAAACTCTGAAACATATATATGAACCAAAATTTAAAAAAGATACAGGACTAACAAAGGCCAGAGGTTCCTAACTTGGGACAGGGGCAAAAATGCGGCGGGGTTAAACATGTTTTGTGAGATCTCAACCCTCCCCCTATACCTCTAGCCGATGATAGTCTCTGTTAAAATTTATTTTCAACTTTTATAGACTTTTGGCAATTTATAGCTTGGCATATTGCACAGACACTTGTCCATTGTTGAAAACCATATTTTGACCTCAAGTTATTTTATTCATATCAATAATCTTATTTCTTCCAGAAAAATTCCAAAGGAAGTGCAGATTTCTGTGTCAGGAATATTGACCATGCTGCATTTGGAAGAAGAGAGATTGAAATTGCTGAGCAAGGTATTATAATAAAAAATAGCAGTCAGTTTCTAGTTACAATGGAAGTAGTATTGATAGTAGTAGTACATACATGTAGTAGTAGTAGTTTATATAAAAAATGTTCTTGTGTTGAAGTTTTTACTATCCTAACCTGAATTCTGAAAAGTATTCTGACAATTTCTTTGTTTTGAAGAAATGCTACATTGTGAAATCACAACATAAATTTTATTTTTTTTTCAAACCAGAATTGATTTTTTTTGCTCCACCCATTCTAACAATTGATCTGAAAGAAAGTACACATGTATAAAACATATTGTAATAACTAGGTAGGTGTAGATAGAATATGACAAAGAAAGACATGAAACATACAAATATTAAAACATAACAACAGAATAGAAAATTTGATGTTTGTGTCATTGAAGGTTTTTAAGAAGAAAATCTTCTTTAACTGCAGAATAGTTCAATTAAGGTGTACCACACCAAATCAAAGTACGTCACTTCCGGTTGCATATGAAAAAGGTCCAAAAAAAATATTCCCTTGAATTTGGCAGTTGTTGGAAATTAATCCTACATTTCATTGCAGTAAAAAAATTCTGGGTCATAAGCAAATACTTTGGGTGTTTCTAAGCACCATTTGTTTTTTTTTTGGTGTTTCTAGAGAATATTTTGGAAACTTGAGGTTACATGGTTACTAAAGCTTGTACACAGGTAAAAAGAGGTCAAATTTTGATTGGTTAACTTCCAGTGATGGTTGATTTCTTATATGCAATAAAATGTTATGTGAAATTTTGTCTATAGTACTGGACAGGATAAAACTTTACTCATGCCAAGTATTTCTTTATTTGAAACAAAGATAAATTCTGCACAATTTTTTGAAAAGTGCAAATTTAACAAAGACTAATAAGGGCAAATCAATGGTAGTATTACACCTAAAGAGGCAGAATGATATAGTTAAATTTGTTTCACATAGTCCTTACTCTTTAGTTAGCAAGAATATATCAAAAACAAGGAATTATTTGAATCTGGAACAATTTTGAATTCTGGAAAATTGATAAGAAATGTATGATAAAAACTAACCCAATTAAGGAGGGTTAGCCATTCACGCATGGCAAAGGATGCTACTTAATTCATACTGAAATTTCAGTGAACGTAACCTGAACCTTAGGCATGGTTAACCATATTTAGTTTCGTGAATGGTCCACATATGGCAAAAAAGTGATAAGGAATTAACAGAAAATCACTCATGCACGATCTGTGCAGACCTATTTAGATAAATACTTGCTAACAAGGTACTTGATGAAGGTTAGGAACTAGATCACCTGATCATGACTATCTATTATTTATTTTTTTAAGAAATGCCTGGAGTGATGGCATTAAGAAGACGAGCTGAAGCTGACAAGCCTCTTTCTGGTGCAAAAATTATTGGTTGTACACACATCACTGCTCAGACTGCTGTAAGTATTAAAAAAAAATGTAGGTTGAATAATTAGGTGTATGCTAATTATCCATGTCCATGAAAACAGATATAGACACCCCTAATAGCTTTTTCCTGACAGTTTTTGTTCTTTATTTTACTGATTTTTGAGATATTTTTTTTACACAATGGTTTGGATACATTTTTATAGGACCACCGCAAAAAATTTGCGTTCCTATAATGCTATCATGTCGTCATCGTCTTCCAAAGACACAATAAAAAATCTAAATGCACAATAAGAATCAGCATATCATAGAGCCGCATTAATTCAGTTTTTGATGAAATCAAACAAAGTTTAATTTTGGACCCTTTTGACCTCAATGTAGACCAATTAAGGCAATTTAAAAATGTGGCCCAATATCCAAAAAAGTAATACAAGGTTAGAACCCCCAAAAATTAAAGACTTTAGATTAATTCCATTATATCTATGATATGCTGAATCGTATTGTGCATTTAGAATTTTTATTTTTGGCCCTGTTTTCAAATTAGTCCATATTAAGGTTTGAAGGGTCCAAAATTAAACTTTTGTTTGATTTCAACTAAAATTAAATTTTTTGTGTTTTTTTAAATGCTGAATCTAACCATGTTGTTAGATTTTGGATATCAGACCATACTAGGTAAATTAAATGTTCCATTTCAAATTTTGAAGATCTTTGAACACATTTATTTTGTGTCAGAAACCTATATTATGTCAAAAATTTTATCACAATCCAAATTCAGACAGTATCAAGCTTGAATATTGTGTCCAAACTTGTCCCAACTGTTCAGGGTTCGACCTCTGCGGTTGTATTAGGCTGCGCTAGGCGAAGCATTTTATTGTAGATTAAAGTGCCCCAACCCAATTTATTGGATTATTAAAGATGATTCTACTACTTAGCCTACCAGTGTAAATAACTTTGAACTACAAATTATTAACATAACTAATTTATTGCTGAATCTAATGCAACTCTAAACAGATAAAAATTTGTTCTTGGCCTAAAACTATCACAATCACAAACGTAGAAGTCATACTATTTTCAGATTGCCAAGTTTTGAACTAGATCTATTTTCAGTTGGTAAATTATTAAATTTAAACCACATCAGATGTTTTACTTGCATAATCAAAACTGAACAATAGCATTTCTGAAAGAGATTATATTGGGAATGTTTTGTATCTCAATGAGAATGTTGCTGAATTTGAAATGAGCACTGGAAATGGGAATGTTCTGTTTTCTCCTTCCATGAATATGTTATTGAACTTGACATTAATAACTCAGCTTTCCATAATTGATGTCAATTTTATAGATCAAATTATAAAACAAGGGAGATAATGCATGATATTTTCTGTAAATAATTATAAAAAAATTAATGATTTATTCTTTAATGACGGTTATAAAGACTCATTAAATTGAATCAGAATGGAGTTTTTACAGTAAATAGAGTTATTCCATCAGCACGCTGGTTTTAACCGATCGAAAACAGAAACAGATTTCTCCTTGGGAACTGTTTCACAATTGTTTTTTAGCTGCATAATATTAGGTTGTCTGTGATAGTTTTAGAAAAATACATCTTTGCGTGTGAAAACAGGAAGAAAGATAGGAAAATTGTATCAGAATAGGGTGATTAAACAGCCGGAAAACTTAACAGGACGGAATTAAATGAAACACGCTTCTCTTTTAAGATTCCTATTGATTTCTACATTCTTTAATATTGCTTACGGTTAGATAAATTCTGCTTGAAAATAATTAGTATACTTTATCTTTAACACTCTTTCTCGATCACTTATTATTATAAAAAAAGAAGAGCTAATCATATGTTTGTCAGAAAAAAAGTCGAGAGAATTGTATAATGAAATAGTGTGAATACCTAACACAAAGCAAAATGCCTCTTGCACAAAATATGCAATTACATGCTTCATTCTTTCCTGTCACTTGTTATACAAATATAACTCATCACAGTAAATGTATTAGGATACAATAATTCTGTAATAGTACAGAGCATTGAACACAAATCTAGAGAGTTCATTGTATGTAAGCTAGCTGATTATGCAGTATGGGTTTTACTTTGTTGAAGACAGTACTGTGACCTTTAGTTGTTAACTTCTTATGATGTCATTTGGTCTCTGGTGGAGAGTTGTCTTATTGTCAATTATACCACATCTTCTTATTTTTATATTTATGAAAAGCAATTTCATTTTGAACAATTTAAAAAAAAGGAAGTACATGTATTGGGTGGATGTCATTTTGACTGATACAGCAACCTTGCAACTAGACAACCAAAAATATGTTTTGAACTTTTGATAGAGGTCAAAAATGGTTTTCAGTGATAGACAAGGATGTACACAATATGTCAAGTTCTATATCTCCTTAAGTCTAGACAAGATGTAAGAGTAACAGAGATCTGTCATTGATACCAGTATGTATAAAAATAAGGAGATGTGGTATGATTGCCAATGAGACAACTATCCTCCAGAAACCCAACAAACAAAGATGTGACAGGTCACTGTACTGCCTTTAACTTTAGGAGCCAAAACCCATACCATATGGAAAGCTATAAAAGGCTCCTGTATGACAAATATGAAACAAATCTATGGAGAAAACCTATGGCTATGGCCTGATTTATAAATGCATGTACTTTTTCAAGCAGAAGAGTAAAAAAAAAGTGTTAAATTGTTTTAAAACAAGGATACAAACCTGATTTCATTTATAACCAAGACCTTTATATACAGTTCACATTGGCAATCTTACTACATTACTCCCCTTTATTTTATTACAAAAAAAAACATTTTTCGCTACATGTATGTTTGTAAAATAGTATCTCAAACCGTTGCCTTCCAAACTCATACTTTCACACCTATTCTTGTAAAATCTTTGAAATAATTTCCTGTACCATGGTGAAAGCAGGTCTACAAATTGCTGGACTCCAACTATCAATTGAAGGTTGTAAGGAATTTTTATACGACCGCAAAAAAATTTTGTGGTCGTATATTGGTATGACGTTGGCGTCGTCGTCGTCGTCCGGCGTCGTCTTCCGAAGACACATTGGTTTTCGCACTCTAACTTTAGTTTAAGTGAATGGATCTTTTTGAAATTTGACCATAAGGTTAAATACCACAAAAGGAAGGTTGGGATTGATTTTGGGGGTTATGGTACCAACAGTTAAGGAATTAGGGGCCAAAAAGGGGCCAAAAATAAGCATTTTCTAGTTTCCAGACAATAACTGTGGAACGATGTATGGATCTCTCTGAAATTATACTACAAGTTTCCATACCACAAAGGGATGGTTAGGATTTGCTTTGGGGGGTTATGGCTCAAACCGTTTAGGAATTAGGGGCAAAAAAGGGGGAAAACCAAGGTTGTCCTGGTTAATGGACAAATACTTTAGTACAAAACATAATTTAAAGCAGTGTAAGGGAGATAAATCAAATACATCATTGAAATTATCTCCCTTACACTGCTTTTAAATTATGTATAAAGTAATGGTTAATGAACAATAAAGATAATTTAAAACAGTGTAAGGGAGGTAATCCAAATACAACGTTTTGGTTACTTCCCTTACACTGCTTTTAAATTATGTTTAAAGAAATGCATATTTATAAAGGAAGACCAGTAAAAATATCTGCAAATGTTGCATCTTTTTTTTTTACAAAAAAATCCATATGAAAGATCTGACACTAAATTTTAAATTCTATTATAAAATAGATTAAGTTAGCACTATGGTAAATTTAAATGGGTAATTATGGTTGCCAACTCCATTGGAAATTTGAATTGAGATTATGACCATATCTTGAGGGAAAGAATTTTTTGGGGGAAAAAAGGGGGGGGGATAAAAAGAAATTGTGGGGGGTCAATTTTTTCTCATTTCGGATTTCAGAATTTAAAAAGAATTATTCTTCAGATATTATTTTTTTTTCAAATTTCAAATATTGAAAAATTTCAAGAAGTAATCTTTAATTGCACAGTATGGCGCATTAGATTTGTAAAATCTTTGATCACATTTATTTATTTGTTATGCCGAATCTAACGGTGTATTTAGATTTTTAATTTTGGGTCCAGTTTTCAAATTGGTCTACATTAAGGTCCAAAGGGTCCAAAATTAAACTTTGTTTGATTTTAGCAAAAATTGAATATATGAGGTTCTTTGATATGCTGAATCTAAACATGTGTTTAGATTTTTGATTTTTGGCCCAGTTTTCAAGTTGGTCCAAATTGGGGTCCAAAATTAAACTCTGTTTGATTTCAACAAAAATTGAATATATGGGGTTCTTTGATATGCTGAATCTAACCATGTATTTAGATTTTTTATTTGTGGACCCCGTAATCAAATTGGTTCATATTGAGGTCAAAAGGGTCCAAAATTAAACTTTGTTTGATTTCATCTAAAATTGAATTATTGGGATTCTTTGATATTCCAAATCTAACCGTGTATTTAGATTTTTAATTTTGGGTCCTGTTTTTTAAATTGGTCTACATTAAGGTCCAAAGGGTCCAAAATTAAACTTAGTTTGATTTTAACAAAAATTGAATTCTTGGGGTTCTTTGATATGCTGAATCTAAGCATGTGTTTAGATTTTTATACGACCGCAAAAAAATTTTTGTGGTCGTATATTGGTATGACGTTGGCGTCGTCGTCGTCGTCGTCCGGCGTCGTCGTCGTCGTCCGGCGTCGTCCTAAGACACATTGGTTTTCGCACTCTAACTTTAGTTTAAGTGAATGGATCTTTATGAAATTTTACCACAAGGTTCAATACCACAAAAGGAAGGTTGGGATTGATTTTGGGGGTTATGGTAATAACAGTAAAGGAATTAGGGGCCAAAAAGGGGCCAAAAATTAGCATTTTTGTAACTTCCAGACATAACTTGTGTGTTAGTGTATGGATATCTCTGACATTGTACCACAAGGTTCCATATCACTAAAGGAATGCTGGGATTGATTTTGGGGGTAATTGCCTCCAAATTTTAGGAATTAGGGGCCAAAAAAGGGGCAAAAAACAAGCATTTTTCTAGTTTCATGACAATAACTTGTGTGTAAGTGTATGGATCTTTCTGAAATTGTACTACAAGGTTCCATATCACAAAGGGAAAGCTGGGTTTGAGTTTGGGGGTAATTGCCCTAAACGTTTAGGAATTTGGGGCCAAAAAGGGGCCAAAAAACACATTTTTTTCTAGTTTCCAGACAATAACTTGTGTTCAAGTGTATGGATCTCTCTGAAATTGTACTGCAAGGTACCATACCACAAAGGGAAGGCTGGGATTGAGTTTGGGGGTGATGAATCATAATGGGGGTTCAAAAAATTTTGGGGGGGGATTTATTTTTTTTTCCTTTTTTTTCTTTTTTTCCTTTTTTGTTTCTTTTAAAATTTTCCATTTTAAGTTGGTTATTTCTGATTTATATTTAAAATCAAATAATAATGATATGGTAGGAGATACACACCAAACAGGATGTGTAAATTATTATATAATAAGTATTGTGCAATAGCAAGAAATTTTCAATTGCACAGTATTGCACAATAGCAAGAAATTTTCAATTGCACAGTATTGCACAATAGCAAGAAATCTTCAATTGCACAGTATTGCACAATAGCAAGAAATCTTCAATTGCACAGTATTGCGCAATAGCAAGAAATATCCAATAGCACAAAATTGCGCAATAGCAAGAAATTGTCAATTGTACAGTATTGCGCAATAGCAAGAAATATTTAATAGCACAGGATTGTGCAAAAGAAGATACTTCCTATAAATTGCTTATTTCTTGACCAATTTCAATGGGGTTTTATTCTTGATTTCATGGGGTTCTTTAATATGCTGAATCTAACGGTGTATTTAGTTTTTGGATTTTGGGCCCCGTTTTTAAATTGGTCCACATTGAGGTCCAAAGGGTCCAAAATTAAACTTTGTTTGATTTCATCAAAAATTGAATTATTGGGGTTCTTTGATATGCCGAATCTAACTGTGTATTTAGATTCTTAAATTTTGGTTCCGTTTTCAAATTGGTCTACATTAAGGTCCAAAGGGTCCAAAATTAAACTTAGTTTGATTTTAACAAAAATTGAATTCTTAGGGTTCTTTGATATGCTGAATCTAAACATGTATTTAGATTTTTGATTATGGGCCTAGTTTTCAAGTTGGTCCAAATCGGGGTCCAAAATTAAACTTTGTTTGATTTCAACAAAAATTGAATATATGGGGTTCTTTGATATGCTGAATCTAACCATGTATTTAGATTTTTGATTTTTGGGCCCCGTTATCAACTTTGTCCACATTGAGGTCAAAAGGGTCCAAAATTAAACTTTGTTTGATTTCATCAAAAATTGAATTATTGGGGTTCTTTGATATGCCGAATCTTACCGTGTATTTAGATTCTTAATTTTTGGTTCCGTTTTCAAATTGGTCTACATTAAGGTCCAAAGGGTCCAAAATTAAACTTAGTTTGATTTTAACAAAAATTGAATTCTTAGGGTTCTTTGATATGCTGAATCTAAACATGTATTTAGATTTTTGATATTGGGCCCAGTTTTCAAGTTGGTCCAAATCGGGGTCCAAAATTGAACTTTGTTTGATTTCAACAAAAATTGAATATATGGGGTTCTTTGATATACTGAATCTAACCATGTATTTTGATTTTTGATTTTTGGGCCCCGTTATCAACTTCGTCCAGATTGAGGTCAAAAGGGTCCAAAATTAAACTTTGTTTGATTTCATCAAAAATTGAATTCTTGGGGTTCTTTGATATGCTGAATCTAACCATGTATTTAGATTTTGGATATTGGACCATAATAGGTGAATGTCCAATTTAAAATTTTTAAGTTCTTAGACCACATTCAATCTGTGTTAGAAACCTATGCTGTGTCAAATATTTAATCACAATCCAAATCCAAAGCTGTATCAAGCTTGAATGTTGTGTCCATACTTCCCCCAACTGTTCAGGGTTCGACCTCTGCGGTCGTATCAAGCTGCGCCCTGCGGAGCATTTTATTGATTATAGGCCCAGTTTTCAAGTTGGTCCAAGATAGGGTCCAGTATTTAAACTTTGTTTGATTTCAACAAAAATTTAATATATGGGGTTCTTTGATATGCTGAATCTAAACATGTATTTAGATTTTTGATTATGGGCCCAGTTTTCAAGTTGGTCCAAATTGGGGTCCAAAATTAAACTTTGTTTGATTTCAACAAAAATTGAATATATGAGGTTCTTTGATATGCTGAATCTAACCATGTATTTAGATTTTTTATTTGTTGGCCCCGCTATCAAATTGGTTCATATTGAAGTCAAAAGGGTCCAAAATTAAACTTTGTTTGATTTCATCAAAAATTGAATTATTGGGGTTCTTTGATATGCCAAATCTAACGGTGTTTTTAGATTTTTAATTTGGGTCCCGTTTTTTAAATTGGTCTTCATTGAGGTCCAAAGGGTCCAAAATTAAACTTAGTTTGATTTTAACAAAAATTGAATTCTTGGTGTTCTTTGATATGCTGAATCTAAACATGTGTTTAGATTTTTGATTATGGGCCCAGTTTTCAAGTTGGTCCAAGTTGGGGTCCAAAATTAAACTTTTTTTGATTTCAACAAAAATTGAATATATGGGGTTCTTTGATATGCTGAATCTAACCATGTATTTTGATTTTGGACATTGGACCATAATAGGTAAATTAAAAAAATTCAAGTTCTTAGACCACATTCTTTCTGTGTCAGAAACCTATGCTGTGTCAAATATTTAATAACAATCCAAATTCAGAGCTGTATCAAGCTTGAATGTTGTGTCCATACTTGCCCCAACTGTTCAGGGTTCGACCTCTGCGGTCGTATCAAGCTGCGCCCCAGCGAAGCATTTTATTACATCTGCCTTACTGCCCTTATTGGTCTTATTAAGTTTAAAAAGGCAGTTAATAAAAGATGAAAACTGTCCCTTGTCCTTTTGACTTGTTGTCTTGACCTCATTTCTGTTGTTACTTAACGTCATAAAATCTTATAATTATATAAAATTCTCAGCAAGCACATTTTGTCAATTTCTGATAAGCTTACAGAATATTGTATATAAAGTAACGTTGTAATTACTGGTAAATGGAATAGAAAATGTAATTATAAATGAAGCCTTATGAATTGATTTTTATACGACCGCAAAAAAATTTTTGTGGTCGTATATTGGTATGACGTTGGCGTCGTCGTCGTCGTCGTCGTCGTCGTCGTCCGGCGTCGTCGTCGTCGTCCAGCGTCGTCGTCCGAATACACATTAGTTTTCGCACTCTAACTTTAGTTTAAGTGAATGAATCTCAATGAAATTTTACCATAAGGTTCAATACCACAAAAGGAAGGTGGGGATTGATTTTGGGGGTTATGGTACCCACAGTTAAGGAATTAGGGGCCAAAAAGGGGCCAAAAATAAGCATTTTTGTAACTTCCAGACATAACTTGTGTGTAAGTGTATGGATCTCTCTGACATTGTACCACAAGGTTCCATATCACAAAGGGAATGCTGGGATTGATTTTGGGGGTAATTGCCTCCAAATTTTAGGAATAAGGGGCCAAAAAGGGGCAAAAAACAAGCATTTTTCTAGTTTCATGACAATAACTTGTGTGTAAGTGTATGGATCTCTCTGACATTGTATCACAAGGTTCCATATCACAAAGGGAATGCTGGGATTGATTTTGGGGGTAATTGCCTCCATATTTTAGGAATTAGGGGCCAAAAAGGGGCGAAAAACAAGCATTTTTCTAGTTTCATGACAATAACTTGTGTGTAAGTGTATGGATCTTTATGAAATTGTACTACAAGGTTCCATATCACAAAGGGAAAGCTGGAATTGAGTTTGGGGGTAATTGCCCAAAAAGTTTAGGAATAAGGGGCCAAAAATGGGCCAAAAATAAGCATTTTTCTAGTTTCCAGACAATAACTTGTGTTCAAATGTATGGATCTCTCTGAAATTGTACTGCAAGGTACCATACCTCATAGGGAAGGCTGGGATTGATTTTTGGGGGTAATTCCCTCAAAATTTTAGTAATTAGGGGCCATAAAAGGGCAAAAAACAAGCATTTTTCTAGTTTCAGGACAATAACTTGTGTGTAAGTGTATGGATCTTTATGAAATTGTACTGCAAGGTTCCATATCACAAAGGGAAAGCTAGGTTTGAGTTTGGGGGTAATTGCCCTAAACGTTTAGGAATTTGGGGCCAAAAAGGGGCCAAAAAACAAGCATTTTTCTAGTTTCAAGACAATAACTTGTGTTCAAGTGTATGGATCTCTCTGAAATTGTACTGCAAGGTACCATACCACAAAGGGAAAGCTGGGATTGAGTTTGGGCCAATGGGGTGATGAATCATAAGGGGGTTCAAAAAAATTTGGGGGATTTTTTTTCTTTTTTTCATACATGTAAACCTCCCGACGGGAGTACAATAATCCCGTTTTCAGGGGTCTCCTCCCGACCTCGCGTTGAAGAGAAAAAAATCCTGTGAATGAAATCTGCCCAACATATCATCTCAGACATCTGGTGTAACTGACATCACCTGAAGTTATATTTTACCTGTAAATCAATTAACATGCATAATTATATGGCTTCACTTGTCAGCTTGGGTGTCAAACATACTGGTAATCAACGATTTTTACCTCAGGCTAACTGCCGTTGTGTAATAAAAACTTTGTGTATTTATTGGGTTACTTCCCCTGATTTATCCTGTTTTAAGTTACTTTCCTTTAAATAATGTAAATTTTTAAAAGAATATAAATAAAATATAAATTGAACAAATAATCATAAAAGGATGGTAATTAAATGATTTTAAATGTCTTAGGACAAATCAAAAAATAATAATTTGAAAATTATTTGAGGGTTCTATACTTTCTTTCAAGGCTTAAATTGAATTCATATAATAACTATGACCCAAGTTTTAAATTTAAATGAGTTTCTGATTATTCAAATAAAATCTAACTGCAAATGCAGATAGGTAAACAAATGATCTGATTGCAATGTTTGTCCTATAGAATAATGATATAAAAGATATGAATTAAAAAATTTAAAGAACATATTAAAAAAAAAGAATCTTAGATTGAACATGTAGAATATTAAGATAAAGAAACTTTATAAGTACAAGGGTACTATAAACATAATACATAATACATTCGGATTGAAAGTTGAAGAAAAAACACTTTAAAAGACAATTTTTACAGCACACGGTTACATTTACGACAAACTTTATGTCGATTAAAAACCTCCTGATCTGAGTTCTAATCTCCTGACCAAAATTTTCCAATCTCCTGATCTGAGTTTCACAGTCCATCACATGTATGTTTTTTTCTTTAAAATTTTCCATTTTAAATTGGTTATTTCTGATGTATATATAAAAGCAAATAATAACGATATGGTTTGAATAGGTAAATTAAAAAATTTTAAGTTCTTAGACCACTTTCATTCTGTGTGAGAAACCTATGCTGTGTCAAATATTTAATTACAATCCAAATTCAGTGCTGTATCAAGCTTGAATGTTGTGTCCATACTTGCCCCAACTGTTCAGGGTTCGACCTCTGCGGTCGTATCAAGCTGCGCCCCAGCGGAGCATTTTATTCCAAATTAATTTCTTGTCTATGACTGATTTTTAATACAAGTTATGGTGCTTATGATTATGATCTGTAATGATTATAAGTAGGTAATTGCTTATATTAAGGAGGAGAAAATGCATGGAATGGCATATAGGTACAAATGTACTGTTGAACTCGGAATTTTATTTTTACGTGTCAATGCATAAAACTTGAGGCTGGTACAGATTCAAAAGGTGGGGATGAAATAATTGCGTGTCCCCTTAGAATGAAAACCACATGATATTTCTTTAAGTGTAGTACTTGTCAAAGACAACTTAGTTTGATTTATTGATTGTTGCTTGCTCTATGTCCAGTGGCAATTATTTCATGCATATTTTGGACAGCAATTTATTTTGAAGAACATATCAATTTAGTTGAAGAACATATGCATTTTGTATTTGAATCACATGGTTCTCCATCAGTTTTTACTTGCAAAAGGAAAGGTATTTTGTATTGCTATTTTTTTGAAATTTTTTTGGCATTAGACCCCCCTTGACAAATCCTGGATCTGGCTTTGTTATGCATGTTTATTGCTGTGAAACAAATATTGTCTGTTCAATGCCACATGTTCATTCTTAATACAATTACATGACACTCAACCAAATTATAATAAATTATAACAACCTAAGATATTCTAATTTTTGACAAAATAAAGAATGCTACTTTGATAAAGATATTAAGAAAGGTAAATCCCATAACTGGATCACTTAGACATATATTTTGTCCAAGAGTGATTCAATTCTCCGTTTTATAATCTAATGCATTCTAGGTAATATTTTTCAAAAGCATACACCAAAACGCTGTGATTGGCTTACAACGTCCAAAACAATTGAATTTTAACCAATGATGTGATGTGGTTTTCATTTTGGGGTACGAGCAATGAGATTACCCATGGTCCTGAGCAATGAGATTACCCATGGTCCTGAGCAATGAGATTACCCATGGTCCTGAGCAATGAGATTACCCATGGTCCTTTAGGTTCTGAAACGGCGAATTTGACAGGTAATAGATCTTAGGTTTCAGTCAAAAATTTTAAAGGTAAAAGGTCATAGGAGATCAGCTGTTGTTTTTTGGGGAGATTACGTACTCCATTTCTTTACTGTTTATAAGAATTATTGTGATAAATGATATTAGACCTTGATAAAACATTTGATAAACTTCTTGGATAAGTGTTCAAGATATGCTATGCCTGAAATGTTTAATTCTGTTAATAACTTTTGAACTGAATTTCATTTGTTATATTTTTCAGGTTCTGATAGAGACATTGGCCGCACTAGGAGCATCTGTAAGATGGGCTGCCTGTAATATCTACTCTACACAGGTTTGTAAAAAAAAGAGGAGCAGCTCTTATTCAAAATATAGTTTTTGGCATGTTTTTTTAAAAAATTGTTTTGTTACTTTTTCTGCATATGAAAAGAAGTAAAAGATTAATTTTGAGATTTGTTCTGGTTAAATGACTTTTCCAACTACATCAGGAATAAATTTTTCCAAATTTTATTCGAAATATCACCTGATCTTCCTCACAAATTTATTATGCCGATCTGATGAAAGTGTTAATTCATCAAATGGGATGCAGGTAGTCAGAATTGCATTGCACATTCAATACCCTCAGAAATTGAGAATGCTTGTATGTTTTTTGTCATTAGAACCAATTCAAGTAGAATGTTATTTAAGGCAAAACTTTCTGTGAGAAATTTATGTGTACATTTATTATCCAAATTGTTGAACAATGGGTATAAAAGCAAGATTGATTATCATGTTAAATATAGAAATTGATGCATACAAAAAGTTGCTATCAAAATTTAAATGCCATTTTTTTTTTTTTGGCAAGACCTATCCCACAGGAATTTTAGATTTAATAAAAACATCACAAAAATTTCTGAATTTATATGATATGTAGTAGATTTTTTAATATTCTCTTTCTTGTTTTTAAATCTTTGCTGGTTTGTTGTCCCATATGCACTCATTCTTCCTATTTTCAAAGTACAGATGCATAGTTAAATTTGAACATTGATGCATTAAAGCATATTTATTACAAACAGTGTTGATGGATGGTATATAAATATGAATGCTCCTTATAAGTTTATTGCGTAATGGCACAGAAAGTCATTATTTGTAACCGTTTATGAGACAGAGAAAGATTTACGGCATATAATCAAATATACTGTATCTTTAAGGAGAGATTCGTTCACTACTATTTGTATTGTTGTCAGAAGCTTTATATAATTGGAATTTGTATAGAGCAATCCATTGAGCTGTAATCAACCTTGATACTCTAGTGGGTTTAAGTATGAATACTAAACTGTAAAAGTGTTGGTCTTTATTTGGTATCATTAAGGCACTTCCAAGATAGATACTTAAAATGAAATGATAGCTGATGGGTTTTTTTTGGAAGTAATTGGGGGGAGGGGGTCATGAGAGATTTTCAAGTACAAAAAAATGTACAATGATGATTGATTGTGGTTGTTTCTGAATTATTAGTCCCCTACTGACAAAGTCGAAGGGGACTTAAGGTTTGCACTCTGTCTGTCTGTCTGTCTGTCTGTCTGTCTGTCTGTCTGTCTGTCTGTCTGTCTGTCTGTCAGTCCGGCAAATCAGTTTTCCACACTTTTTTTCTTCGTGCTTGAAGATATTGATTTGATATTTGGTATATAGTTTTATCATGACAAGTTACAGATAAAGTTCGAATTTTGTTCAGGTCTGATGATTTTGTGCAGAGTTATGGTCCTTGGACTTAGAAAATTCACTTAAATAATCAGTTTTCCACACTTTTTTTGTCATGCTTGATGATATTGATTTGGTAATTGGTATATAGTTTTATCCTGACAAGTTACAGATCAAGTTAACATTTTGTTCCAGTACAATGAATTTTTAACCGGTAGGGGACTATGTATTGCCATGCAATACTCTCAGAATGCTTGTTCTAACATAAATAAAAGGAAACATTTATTTGAATTGTGATGGATGATGAGATAAAATTAAAACCCCGGAACACTACCCCATACTTTTATACCAAGCCTAGCTACCAGCTTTTAGGACAGACAGAATTAATATTATTGTAAAAAGTTTATAATCAAAGACCTCCAATCAAAATTCTTTAGCATAAGTTGACGTAAAGAAATATTTTGTATAGATACTGACAGATATGTCCTCTTACAGTTTCTTAAAATAAAATTGAGAATGGAAACAGGGAATGTGTCAAAGAGACAACAACCCAACTAAAGAGCAGAAAACAGCCCAAGGCCACCAATGGGTCTCCAACACATAGAGAAAATCCTGTACCCAGAGGCGGGCTTCAGCTGGCCCCTAAACAATAATGTATACTAGTTCAGTGAAAATGGACATCACACTAAACTCTGAAACATATATATGAACCAAAATTATAAAACATACAAGACTAACAAAGGCCAGAGGTTCCTGACTTGGGACCCTCCCCCTATACCTCTAGCCAATGTGGAATAAACAAACACACAGCAATACGCACAGTAAAATTCAGTTTAAAAGAAGTTCTAGTCTGATGTTAGAATAGGTAACAGAAGAAACTAAGCAAAATGACAATAATCAACATAAATTAACAAAGGACTACTAGCAGTTACTGACATGCCAGCTCCAGACCTCAATTAAACTGATTGAAAGATTATGTCTTCAACATATGAAAATCAAGCACAATCCCTCCCTTTAGTGGTTTATATTAGTATCATACCATCATAAAATATACGATATAAGAAGTAACCCGTATCATGCCAACAACTGGTTTTAGAATAAATGTGTTTATTTCCGATGCAAAGACCCTATGAGTGAATCAATAATAAGTCCAAAAAAAGCCATCTTAAATGACAACAGTATCGTAACTATATCCCTTCTGAATAAGTCTGTTTAAAGGTTTGAATGGTACATATATCATTTAATCCCAAATCTTCAGTTGCATTTCAACATATGTCAAACTTTTTTTTTAATACAAAATAAGTTAAATTATTTGATTTACTTTTTACTGTAATAAATTTAAATTCTTAAATTCTGACACCACAAGTTTTTAGTGGATAAAATCGCATTTATGATACCAATGGTTAGATTAGAGACTGGTTATTATAATTGTAAATATGTTTGCTACTGAGTCCCTCTAATTGTTTGTCTCTAAGGGATCTGTTATTTGTATCTGCAACTTCTAAACCAGTGACTTCATTTGGCTGTTTCAGACATTCTAATGTGTTCTTGGTAACATTTCCAAAATGTTTTGATTGGCTATACAAATCGAAAACAATGGAAATTCAACCAATGACATGAAGTTATTTTTAGTTTGGGGGTACATACAATGAAATTATCCATAGTCTTTTTGATTCTGAAACGGTGTCAGAATTCAAAGAATCTTTCTCAAAATCTTCAGTACAACATGCAGTCCCACAGCTTCTATTTTTTGTTTTTCTGGTGTTTTCTTTAAAAGCAAAACAAGGACTTTTCCATATTTTTCCCAGCTCTGTTTACAGTTTTTCTAGATACATACAATGATTATAGATGGTAAATAAATATTGAATGCTCCTTAACAGTTTTGTGGGAAGTCTTACTATAGCTCTATCAAGACAGAAGAGATTTACAGGGTATAATCTAATATGTTATATAGTATAGGTGAGATTCAGCCACTATTATCGGCAATAGTTGTCAGAAGCTTTATATAATTGGAGAGTGTAGACCAATTCATTCCGCAGTAATCAGCCATGATACACCAGGGGATTTACTCATAAATGCCACTTTGGAAAATCATCAGTCTTGATTTAGTACCGTAAAATATCGTCCAACAAATGAAGTGTTAGCTGAGGACAGTTTAAGAATAAATGATCATTTTATAATTGAGAGCTGGATTAGTACAGGAATTTCTAGGCTGTTTTCCTGTATGAGTTTTTGAAATCAGTATTGTAAAAAAGAGAGGTCCCATAGGCAAAATGATGTTCTCATATTGCATTATTTTTTTTTTTAATTTAGTAATTTCAGAAAAATTTGAAAATAAACAAATAATTGATTTTATCCCGCAGTGAGCTTTCCTTGGTATAGAAGAAGAAAGGGGTAAACATAAACTTTATGGTTATTTTTGTTTGCTCATCGTTACTATGGAGACAAAATGTATAATAGCCATGTTTTTTCAAACTCCATATCATATAAAAACTGTTTGCTGTTACCTTGAACATATTATGAACAGACCTGAAATTATTGTTGTTCTCATTCAGGTCCTCTTTTAAGCAGTTCCATTCTTTGTAAAAAAAAAAGAAAAAGAAAGCTGCATGAAGGGGAGCGGGGGGGCTTTAAGCAACCTCAAAGAATTTCATGATGAAATTAATATCTACGCTTTTGAAAAAAAAAAGGATAAATTTTATCTTGTCATGTTATTGTAGGGGAAAAAATAAAGCTTGGCAAGCCTCATTTCTTCTTATGTTCTTAAAGTTTCTGCCTATTTATATATATTCCACTGCAAATTTGTTTCTTTTCATGGATGAATATAAAGATAATGTCCGTCAGCACCTAAAACACAATGTTGTAATTATAGATTTTTTTCGATTATTTTGTGGTATATCTCTGAATTTTTTTGTACCATTAAATGACTTAATGTCGATATTTTCATTTTATATTACAATTTACAATTGATGTTTAGGTGATTGTTAACCTTTTATTATTCAATTATTAATCCAAACAGATTTTTTCAAGTTAATGAAAACGTCTATTTTATTTCTATTTAACAATTCTCATTTTAAGCCAGTTTAAAATCAATCTGTCTTTGCCTGTTGCTACTGTCAAGTTTGTGACACGCAAATAGTCAACACGACGCTAAATGATTAGCACAGAGCTAAAACATTGTATTAGATTGAAGCTAACTGAATCTCTTTTTATTTTTATGTGTTGGAAAGAAATTGGTTTTTTTCGTAAATCAAATGAAAGAAAATTGGATTTCGTATTAGAAAGATAATCATTAGTCTCGCTGAGACTTATGATGAAAGCAAAGTAAATATGGAAGACTTAGAAGGTGGTATGTCATGTTTATATGAAGGAAAAAATGAAAGATTAGCAATTTTATATTTTATGAATTGTGAATATGTTTAAAGATGGAGTAAAAAGAATAAGACATTGACCTTCTGCTGTTGTCTGTTCTATGGTCGGGTTGTTGTCTCTTTGACACATTCCCCATTTCCATTCTCAATTTTATTTTATTTTATTGTAATCAATTAATCAATAACACCATATATGATATATAATCGCTAATCCTAATTATGATCCATCTCTAATTAATGAAGAAAAATAATCATTTTTTTAAAACCAATTGGAAATTAACCAGTGTCATCAAAATAATTTTCTAGATTAAAGTTTTATGATGTATTTCCTAAAATAGGTTTTTGTTTTTGGTATGCTACGTTATACTGCAATCTGGTGTGGCTTAAATTATATTATGTTGTAAAAATTTGATATTCATTGTTATTGAAAGTTATAAAACTTTGCACAAATTTATGCTTTCAAGAACTATACGGCAAATATTTTGCCAAATCTGCACTTATATATATATATATGTATATAATTAGGGTCTACCATTATAGAAATTTTTCAAAGTTAGGTTTTCATAATTATAAGTTATATGAAATACTATAACTCTCTTTGCTATGTCAGTTTTCACATAAAAATTTAATTTGTTTTGTTGCTGTTGAAACTGAAAGTCATAGCACTAGTTCCTAGTTACCTGATTTCTCTCAATACTTTAATTAGATATACATCCTCAACTATTTGGTCAGTATATTCAAAAAGTGAATTGATATATTCTAACACCAGTTAATATATCATTATTTAACCAAATTCAGGCATTATTGAAATGCAAATAAAATTTCTTTCTTTTTTCAAGTTAATATGTCAAAATTTTGAAATTCAAAGATTGCATCCATGTGTGTCAATTTTACGTGTCACTGTTTCAGACAAAGTAAATTTGATTTTTGTTACAAGTTTATAATGAAATACTCTAGATCTGTACAAGGACAAAAAACACATTACCATATATTCCATGCCTCAGTGTTCTCATGGAAACTAATGGAAAGATTATGCAAATAATGGATTCTCTGTGGACAAACTTAATTGTTTTGAAATTTTGCTGAGCAAGGCCAAGTAGAATATTTAGGATAAAAAAATGTATGTTACATTAAACCTATACCTCCATTTTTATCCCATGAGCATTGGTGTGTATAGATTATTGACAGAGCTGTTAATTTGTAACACCAAACAGGAAATTCATTTTCTGGTTTTTCGCTCAAGGTTATAACTTTTTATATGATTGGGTTATAGCTGATCTGTCAGATATCATCAATGGACTTATATTTTCATTAGTGACCTGTCTTTATGATTAGATAAAGATCACAGCTCGATCCAAGGTCAATATTTGTATCATCAACTTTTTTCAGATTTTGATTAGCAACTTGTTTTGAGAAATAAGATATGTTGGGTTGAATGAAGATGGAAGATGTAAAAGATATTTTGAATTGTAGATGAATGTCACAATGCTGGTAGCCAAATATGGACGAAAAATGTTTACACAAATCAAAATTGTTTTAAAGAGTTCTTACTAATACCAATGCAATTTTATTTTGGAAACAGTTGCAGCACATATAAACTGCTTGCATTCTAGAACATTCATTTTAAATTAAGGAATTAAGCTAAAATTGTGGGGTAAAAATGTTATTTACAATATTTTAAACACAGAAAAGAGTACAAGATTGGTCTATGCCCCAAGTGTCTTTTCATTATTGAACAGTGAAGCAATCAGAAGCTTTACTGATTGGCATCTCTTTCGGTAAAAGATAGGGCATGCCATAAAATATAACTTTTCATTTGCCAATTTTACATAGACAGTCATTGTACTTTGAAAAAATGACCAAAAAGTCAAGAATAAAAGTGCTGTAAAATAGAGCAAAAACAGTCACTGTACTTACAAAAAATGACCCAAGAAGCCCAGAATAAAATAGTTTTGATAAAGAGGGGGAAAATGCCAAAACAACTGTTACCATACAAAGAACAAAAATAGATATATAACTGTGTAGTGTGTACTATGAAAAACGTATTTAAACTTACAATAATTTGATTGGATGTCATAGATCTTCATGATATTAATGTCTATTTTTAGAATGAAGTTGCTGCAGCCCTTGCAGAAGCAGGATATTCTATCTTTGCTTGGAAAGGTGAATCAGAAGAAGATTTCTGGTGGTGTATAGATAAATGTATTAACTGTGAAGGATGGCAGCCTAACATGGTAAAAATCTAAAAATATTGACAAAAAAAAAACTAAGTCAGTGTTACAACAGTTTATATTTACAATATGATGAATAGACCAGTTAAAAGTCATGTCTAACATATAAAAAAATTTACAAAAAGAAGACAAAATAGAGGTGAAAGATACCAAAGGGACATTCAAACTCACAAGTCGAAAACAAACCGACAACGCCATGGCAAAAAAGGATAAAGACAAACAGACAAACAATAGTACATAAAACACAACTTAGAAAACTAAAGACACAGCAACACGAACCCAAATATACCAAGGAGGCACTCTCAAATCACAAATTAAAGAAATATAGACGGTACCATGGCAAAACGACAAACTGCAGTCCACAAAATACCACACAGAAAAACAGTTTGAGCAACACATAGCCCACCAAAAATTGGAGGCAAACCAAACATGTTCATTAGAAAGTGCTAGTACGAAAGTCAGGATTGCAGTTAACAGTTGTTTCCATGATAATAATTATACCCCCGCTTTAAAAAAGTGGGGTATACTGTTTTACCTCTGTCTGTCCATCTGTCAGTCCACCTGTCAGTCCGTTCGTCAGTCCATCCATCAGTCCGTCCGTCCGTCCCATGAATATTTTTCATTTTTCTCAGGAACTACATAACAAGGATTTCTGAAATTTGGTATCAGGGTTTATATGAGTCAGCTATACCTTGTGATGTGTTTCAGATTCATCACTCAACAACTTCATGTTTACCGAAATATTTGGGCAGGGGTATCATCAGTGAGCAGTATCTCACAGTTTCACTTGTTTGAAGAGATTTATCTAAATACAGAATATATAGATAATAATATGTTTTTTGAAAGTCGGTTGATTACTTCAGTCTGTTATCATGTGCATTGTTCAAGTCATTGTAATTCAAGAACTCTGCTTAATTTGAATGGTTCCTGTATATCATTAGAATAACTTTGTGGTTCCTTAGATATATATATCTTTATTCTCGTAAACCAAAGTACAATGGTATAGAGACATATACAAATAAATTAACATACATAGTATAAATTTTAAATACAAATGTAAGATCATTGAACTTTGACCTTCACATTTTTGTAATCATATTTACATCATACTGTATTTTATACCTATATATTTTGTAGATTTTGGATGATGGTGGGGATGCCACACATTTGATGTTGAAACGTTATCCAGCCATGTTTAACATGATTAAAGGAATCGTGGAGGAAAGTGTGACTGGAGTTCATAGGTTATATCAGCTATCAAAAGGAGGAAAATTAACTGTTCCAGCAATGAATGTCAACGATTCTGTCACAAAGGTAAGGAGAGATAACTTTGGTTATATCTACTCTCTAAAGAAGGAATAAGAAATGAATGTTTACAAATCCATTAAAATTCTGGTTAAAGAGACTCATAAAAAGACGGAAATTTCTGGTAGCAGCAATAAATATCATATAAACATAGTTGAGGGTGGATCAATGAAACAGCACCCCAAAAAAAACCAAAAGACATCTAGAGGTCTTCATAATAGACTGGTGTTTATACAATATGTTCAGCTCTAAATGACCTGTGAATACATTAAGAGAAGTTTTTAAGTTCATTTCTGGAATTACTTATAATATCATTACTTGTTACTGTGGCAATGTAGTTTGAAAGCTTCACATTTAGTTAGTTGCACACTCAGGTATTTAGTTTGGCCCAATTAAATCATGTTACAGTATTTTATGTTACCATAATATAGTATGCTTTCAAAGATTATATTATATCATATTTTTATTTCAGACAAAGTTTGATAATCTGTACAGTTGTAGAGAGTCAGTTTTAGATGCGTAAGTAGTATGTGTAAAAATTTGATGATAAGTGTGTAGATTAAAAGGCACAAAACACAAACAATGGAGTAATGTAGGTTCCATGAACCATTTAACCCTGCCATGCTTGAAATTTTAATTGATTATTTCATATAACTGTTAAGGCTATCTGTCTAAAATAACCACCATCCATCAAATCTTAACAAAAGTGCCTTCTGACCCCCCATTCAATTAATTCTGGAGAAGCCCTAAGTGAGAATATATTCTCTTTTACGTGTACTTGTCCAGAATGTTCAAAATGAAATGATAGATGCATGGATGGAGAACATTCTACTAAAATATATAGTCAGATGCATTGTCTAATGTTTGCCAATTAGTATTAAACTTTACAAAAGCTGTGTTATAGATTATGCACTTACATCCTTGTCTTTGTAGCAGTCAGATTGTCTGTTTTGGTATTGTTTACATTGTCATAGGTTTTTTTTTTATTGCAGATTAAAGAGAACAACTGATGTTATGTTTGGTGGGAAACAGATCCTTATATGTGGATATGGTGAGGTATGAAATAGATAACACCCAAAAATGATTATTTTAAGGAACTTTCTTGAGAATCTAGAAACAATTTCATTGCGAGAAATAATCATAGTTTACTGACATTCAAAACTGTCAATATCTATATCTTGCTTTTATAGAATTGTAAATTTAGAAGGTAATGTGATCTTTTAATTATGGAATAGAGTATAAACAACTTAAAATATCTAACTACATTTATATTTTATATATATTCAATGGTTTGAATTTCTTATTTATCACCTGCCACCATTGTTATGTTCTAAGCTTATACTGCAAACATCTATATTCTCTATTTACTAGGTAGGAAAAGGTTGTTCTGCTGCATTGAAAGGTCTAGGCTGTAGTGTAATGGTCACAGAAATTGACCCTATATGTGCTCTGCAAGCTTGGTGAGTTTAAAATACTGTAGTGTCAATTTTATAGATAAACATGCTTAATAATGAATTGTTTAAATTAAGATAACTGTGTTTGAAGTTTTCCGACAAATTTATTTTAAAGAAAGAAAACAACCTCAACACTTTATCCCTTTTTTTATTTTTTTAGTTTTAGACAAAATATACCAATGAAAGACAAAAAGACTTATACTTGTATTGTCTATTCTTTTTAGTATGGATGGGTTCAGAGTTGTACGACTTGAGGAGGCCATAAAGAGTATAGATATTTTAATAACATGTACAGGTAAATATGTGTTTTGATTGATTAATTGATTTGTTTGTATAAAATATAATTAATGAGCAATGATATCATATTAAGGCAAACAGTTAACATAACCCATTTTTACCTCATCTTCAACTTTACATATTTTGTCTCACACGTCAAGGTAAAAGTTCTTTAATTTTTGGTGTACAGTATGTGTTTCTGAATTTACCCTTTATCACTGAAATTCAGATAAATTTTTATATACTGTATATCAGGTTATTTTTTTTGTCAGTTTTTTTGGTGGTTTAGGTCATTGAAGGGACTGTTAAGTTATCGCTGTATTTATTATTTGCGTTTTCTTACCTTGTTAAGTGCTTTTAAATGGATAGTGAAATGTTCTTATAGGATTAACTTGGCGGTAAATTGCCAACCATGAACATAACCAATATAATACACTTACGAATATTTTCTGATATACAGTATACATGGGGTACTACATAACCAAATGTGGGCCAAAAAGAGCAACTTAAACCAGCATACACGAAATTAGGGTTTTTTGTACCCTTTCTTTTCAAAGAAGGATAATTTATTTTTTCAGGTAATAAGAATGTAGTGACCAGATCCCACATGGATAGGCTGAAGACTGGTTGTATTGTATGCAATATGGGGCACTCCAACACAGAAATAGATGTTGTAAGTATGGGATATGTTTTACATTTGTTTCAAAAAGGTTGATAACTGATTGCAGAGGCTGGATTGTTAAATGAGATTTACGATTCTATACTGAAACATAATTTAAGGAAGATTCATTCTATATGACAAGGAAAAGAAAATGAATGTTGGTTTTCCAGTTGTGGAGAGTAGAGTAATGCTAGAAATAGACTTTGAAAGGAAAGTAAGACGCAAAGAGAAATTTGTGTGGCACAATGTGGATGCCTTTTACTTTTCATTACAGTATACACCATACATATTCTGTAGGAATGTCTTTCTATGTCTCCAGCAAATGGTCCAAGGACACAGTTATCGTCCTTTGGTTTTCGTTGTCTACAAATATAGTCCCTAGTGTGAACAGTGTATAACTTGCATTTTTTTTTGATACACTTTCCCAATTTATTTCTTGATATTTTATGCATGAAATATTAAGTAAGGGGATGAAATTACATGTTAAAAAAATTTGGGTGCTGAATCTTTATGTTAAGTAGTGATTTGGTCCAGTTAAAAAAGGTCAAAAGTTAGAATGTCTGAAGCTGTCAAACTGAATTTTAGCCCCCCATAACACAGAATTGTCAATATTTTGAGTTAGAGCTGGTAGAAGTTTCTATAATTTTGATATTATTTGTATCAATAGTAGTACACTACACTGTAAAAATCTTTTTGAGATAGAGCAGGTGCGATTTTTTTAATTTGAATTTATTGTCTAAAAGAAATGCACTACGAAATAACTGTGTTCTCGGGCCTAAGAGATGAATTCCGTAAATGTAGATTCTGTACTTTGGCAACTTTCCTGAATGGTTTGCTGGTTTCAATTTGTCAAACTCAATAAAAGTAAAGGATTTACATCTTTGTTTGACAGAAATTCTGTTAAAATGTCCCATTTTGGCATTATACGGCTAAAATAGGCATTTTAAAGCAGTTTCCATTTTATGCCTAAGAGCCATGCTGACTTTCTATCTGACAGCTTTTTATGTTCCTGATATTTGTGTTTCTATGCTTAAATCAAATTTAATTAACCATTTGTGAACTCGGAATCTAGAGAAAAGTAGATTATCACAGAAAAAATGTGCAGAATATTTGTATTTATGTCCCTGGTTAAACGGCCTGTTTGATGTATGTGAAATGTGAAGAGCTTTGTACATAAAATCTGTAGTCCATCACAAATATTTCACTAAATCTGTAAAAAAAACCACTTTACAATGATCAGTACACCCTATTCATTTCATATGCTATCATAATTTTCTTCTTTAGGATAGTAAGTGGTTCAAATATATGCCAAATGAGACTAAAACTACATGCAAGTTTTCCATTGAAAAGTGAAAAACTGGTCATCAGACCATACTGTCTGCAAAAAAAAGTTGAATTCAAGAGTCCTTTTGCAATTAGACTTCTTGTATCATGACATCTTAGCATAGAAATGAGCAAAAAGTAACAAATTTCAATTTCTTATAGCCTCTGTGTGCATTTTTATATGTAAATATGGGCTACGGCCTAAATCGACTCTAAATAATTCTCAGTCTTACATGGCCTAAGACCATTTTATACTCATGTGGTATGCATTTTGTAACTTTTCTTTACATTTAAAGTACATTTAATATATATGGAAGAATAATGTATGGTTAAAAAACTTCAAAAACTTCAAATTGGTTGAAAAAAATGCATGTTTATGTAAGGCTTCCCTTAATTCAAAAATCTCTATTTTCAGGCACAGGCTCATATAAATTTGACTTTTGAATAACTGTAATAAATCTGATAAATCAAATGAGTGTTCCGTTGCTTTTAATACTTATTATATTAAATTCAAGAGTATTTTAAAAGCAAATTTTTGCAATATTTAAATTTTTTAGGCCAAAATCTTGACAGTTGAAAATATTTGATTTAAACGTCAAAAATAAACCACCAAATTTCAATATTAAAATGGCCCTAGTTTCTATAATATATATCCTATGGCCATGAAACTTGGCCAACTATCTTATAATTGCCTAAGCTTAGGTCATGCAAAGTTTTATTAAAATTGGTCAAGTCTTTCTATCCTATTAGGTCCAAGGACACAGTTATCGTCCTTTGGTTTTCGTTGTCTACAAATATAGTCCCTAGTGTGAACAGTGTATAACTTGCATTTTTTTTTGATACACTTTCCCAATTTATTTCTTGATATTTTATGCATGAAATATTAAGTAAGGGGATGAAATTACATGTTAAAAAAAATTGGGTGCTGAATCTTTATGTTAAGTAGTGATTTGGTCCAGTTAAAAAAGGTCAAAAATTAGAATGTCTGAAGCTGTCAAACTGAATTTTAGCCCCCCTTAACACAGAATTGTCAATATTTTGAGTTAGAGCTGGTAGAAGTTTCTATAATTTTGATATTATTTGTATCAATAGTAGTACACTACACTGTAAAAATCTTTTTGAGATAGAGCAGGTGCGATTTTTTTAATTTGAATTTATTGTCTAAAAGAAATGCACTACGAAATAACTGTGTTCTCGGGCCAAATATATACTTTTTCAAAGTTCCTATTACGCAGGACATAATTGAATCCTATTGCATGCAGTGTTGTTTTGGTTCATAATTAGAAGTTTATTAATCTCAAATCTAATACTTGAAAAAATGCACTATATTATAGAAGTTTATGAATCTCGAATCTCATACTTAGAAAAAAAGTGCTGCATTATAGATATGTATGAATCTGAAACTTCATACTGGACAAATTAACTTTCAGGTCTATAAGTGATGGTTTATCTGTCAAGGATAAGTGTAGACAATAACTCTCATGCTTATGTTTCAGGGTAGTTTACGAACCCCAGATCTCACATGGGAGCAAGTTAGATCTCAAGTTCACCATATCATATGGCCTGATGGAAAACGTATTATATTATTAGCAGAGGTAAAAAATCATTTTTTGCGACTGATTTTGTCAAAATTATTCATAAAAAGATATTTCTAAATTTTATCACTGATATTCAATTTATCTCATACTTCATGATTTCAGTTGAAGAACCTTGAAGGGATTTATAGCTCCTGACTTGAAGTTCACTTTGCAAGTTTTATTTCAAACTGATAATGTTTTAAATTACTATTATAATAATCTTAATTGATTACCTGCAAAGATATTGGCTCATAAGTGAATAAAAGGCAACATAGGGTATATGTCAATGAGAAAGAAACCTAAAGACACAAAAAAAAAATCAGAAGATCTTTAGAGTCAACATACAGACTTTGCAATATGTCAAGCTCGAAATCAGTCTGAAGATGTTTATGCTGTAATATTCCATGGAATACAAGCTAACAAATTTTTTATTGGACTTCACAAAATTCATGTTATAACTTTTCTAGTTAAGATATCATTTACTAAAGGCATATGACAATTTTACATTACCGACAAAAGCGCTGTGTATTGTTAAAATTGGTCGTACAGTTACATGGGTTTAGGTAACATACGAGTAAAATAAAAATTAAATGTTTTATACAAAAACACTTTTAATTATTCATCTTAAAGTCGTTTCTCAATCAATATGTTTACCTTCATAAGTTTAGTCAAGTCCGGTTGATTTTCATTAATCATTATTAGTTGAATTCATTGCAATGATTGACAGATTGTAGATTGCTCACATTAGATATTTTAAAAATCCTGATTTACTGTCATTTATAAATAGCTAGAATTTTAAATTTTATCTCCAATGGTTATTTCTTTTAAAAAACTGTAGCTAAAAAAAATTTAAAAAATCAAAGATGAGAATATAATTACAATTTAAAAAATATTTATTTAACAAATACCTCTATTTTTGACTTGTTATTATATTTCAGGGTCGCCTAGTAAATTTAACTTGTTATTATATTTCAGGGTCGTCTAGTAAATTTGACTTGTTATTATATTTCAGGGTCGTCTAGTAAATTAGACTTGCTATTATATTTCAGGGTCAACTAGTAAATTTGACTTGTTATTATATTTCAGGGTCGTCTAGTAAATTTGACTTGTTATTATATTTCAGGGTTGTCTAGTAAATTTAACTTGTTATTATATTTCAGGGTCTTCTAGTAAGTTTGACTTGTTATTATATTTCAGGGTCGTCTAGTAAATTTGACTTGTTATTATATTTCAGGGTCGTCTAGTAAATTAGACTTGCTATTATATTTCAGGGTCAACTAGTAAGTTTGACTTGTTATTATATTTCAGGGTCGTCTAGTAAATTTGACTTTTTATTATATTTCAGGGTCGTCTGGTAAATTTGACTTTTTATTATATTTCAGGGTCGTCTGGTAAATTTGACTTGTTATTATATTTCAGGATTGTCTAGTAAATTTTACTTGTTATTATATTTCAGGGTTGTCTAGTAAATTTGACTTGTTATTATATTTCAGGGTCGTCTGGTAAATTTGACTTGTTATTATATTTCAGGGTTGTCAAGTAAATTTGACTTGTTATTATATTTCAGGGTCGTCTAGTAAATTTGACTTGTTATTATATTTCAGGGTCGTCTGGTAAATTTGACTTTTTATTATATTTCAGGGTTGTCTAGTAAATGTCGTCTAGTAAATTTGACTTGCTATTATATTTCAGGGTCGTCTGGTAAATTTGACTTGTTATTATATTTCAGGGTCGTCTAGTAAATTTGACTTGTTATTATATTTCAGGGTTGTCTAGTAAATTTGACTTGTTATTATGTTTCAGGGTCGTCTAGTAAATTTGACTTGTTATTATATTTCAGGGTCGTCTGGTAAATTTGACTTGTTATTATATTTCAGGGTCGTCTAGTAAATTTGACTTGTTATTATATTTCAGGGTCGTCTAGTAAATTTGACTTGTTATTATATTTCAGGGTCGTCTAGTAAATTTGACTTGTTATTATATTTCAGGGTCGTCTGGTAAATTTTGACTTGTTATTATATTTCAGGGTCGTCTAGTAAATTTGACTTGTTATTATATTTCAGGGTCGTCTGGTAAATTTGACTTGTTATTATATTTCAGGGTCGTCTGGTAAATTTTGACTTGTTATTATATTTCAGGGTCGTCTGGTAAATTTTGACTTGTTATTATGTTTCAGGGTCGTCTAGTAAATTTGAGTTGTTCTAGTGTTCCTTCATTTGTTGTCTCCATCACAGCTGCTACTCAGGTAATTATTGAAAATCATTTTTACCACTATGTAATATTTGCACATTTGAACGCTATTGATTTAACCACAAATTTCTGTTATCCTATAAATTAAAATTTTACTCTGTTAATTTTACTAGATTTGCATGGCTTAAATAACTATATTATGGAGTGATGCAGACTTGTGTTTTTCAATTAATATGAAAGTCCCTTTTTTTTGGCGGACAAAGGAAAAATTGTATTGTTTGTGGATACTTGATTTTATTGTTTTCACAAATTTTTCACACAAACTGATGGAAAATTTGTAATTTGCTGAGTACATTAAATATTTTACTATACTTTTCTCTTGAAATCCACAAAAATGAGCACACCATATTTAAAGTGAGGGTGTGGATGGGGGTTTACAGAATAGAGAATAATGGACAAAAAATATAAAGAATAGAGAAAAATGGACAAAAAATATAAAGAACAGAGAAAAATGGACAAAAAAATAAAAATAAGGAATAATGCGGTGCTTAAATATAAAGAATAGAGAATAATGGGCAAAAAATATTAAGAATAGAGAAAAATGGGCAAAATATAAAGAAAAATGGACCAAAGAATAAAGAATAGAGAATAATTTGGTGCTAAAATATAAAGAAGATAGAATAACGGTAAAAAAATATAAGGAATAGAGAAAAGTGGGCAAATATAAAGAATAGAGAATAATGGGCAAATATAAAGAATAGAGAAAAATGGACCCAAAAAATTAAGAATCGAGAGTAATGTGGTGCTAAAATATAAAGAATAGAGAATAAAGGGCCAAAAAAATAAAGAATAGAGAATAATGTGGTGCTAAAATATAAAGAAGATAGAATAACGGGCAAAAAAAAAAATAAAGAATAGAAAAAATAAAGAATACAGAAATGAAGGACCCCCATCCAGACCCTCATAAGTAATAATAGATCCACAATAAAAACGAATGATTGTTTGTGGTAAGTAACAGACTATCAATCCTACAGTAAAACTTTCCGTAGTCAAGGAGCTTTTTAAGTGATACGTTATCATGTGAAATTGGTAATGAGCAATTTTGATGAAAATCTCAATTTTATATTTTTCAGTATGATAGAAAAAATGTTTTTGGTCGGTTAAAACTGTTAAATTATATATATGTGTTTTTGTTTTTTCAGGCATTAGCATTGATAGAACTATACAATGCACCTCCAGGCAGATATAAACAAGATGTCTACCTCTTACCAAAGAAAATGGGTATGTAAGACCAGATTCTGTTTTGGAAATTACAAAATTTTTTATTTATGATCTAACTTAAAAAAAATTTGAAAGACATAAACCACAATAAAAAAACGAAGGAAAAAATTGATTACAAAAAGTTTATTTTTTAAGATTGTTTCTTACTTGTATAGCCCCAAGAGAAAATAATTGTGGCATACAAAGGGAGACAACAACGATCAAAATAATGATGAATTCTTCTTTCCTTTTTCAGAATGAATGTTTAATGGACTATATTTATGTATTTCAGATGAATATGTAGCCAGTTTACATTTACCAAACTTTGATGCACATCTGACAGAACTATCAGATGAACAAGCTAAATACTTAGGATTAAATAAAACAGGACCCTTCAAGCCAAATTATTATAGGTAAGTCAATACCTATTGTGCTTAGATGTGTAATTAAAAGGGAACAGGATTATTCACTATGAATTTATATTAGCATGAATAAGAGCATTCTTGTTTTTTTGTGATATTTTTGCCTGCTGTAGATCTCTTCCAGCAAAATTGTGATGAATTTAAAGAAGCAGTTGACCATCCAGAAACTTTGCATACCCCTACTGTAAAAAGGACATCAACTACTTGAGCTTTAGTGTGCCTTTGGCCTTGATATTATGTATTTGTGGAATATGATGTATATGCATGAATGTTACAAGAAAAACTTTTTTAAGATTAAGCCATTTCATTTTTAAATGTTCCATACTATTTTCAGTAGCCATATTTCTTTTGTTTCTATTTTGTAAGGATACTTTTTGTTAACTCTACACATCAATGGGAGATATGTAAAATCAGTTCACTGTCAAATCTCATTTTGGAAAATAATCCCTTGATGGAAATCTCCCACATTGGAGGTTTGTAAAGTTGACATTTATGAAGAAGGGATATCTGCTTGTTTTGGTCAATCTTTGTTTTTACCAAATTTCAAAATTTTGTAAAATCTAAAAATTATATCAAAAAGCCTACAGTGAATTGAGGCAAAAAGTGGATTAATTCAGAAATTATTGCCTGCATTTATTATTGTGATTTCGACATGACAGAACAAAATGTGAGAATAATTATTGCGATTACATGATAAGCTGCATACTTACATATATGTCAAATTTAAAGTGCGAGTTCATATTAACAAGTCACATTATTCACAATAAAAAAAGCCTCACTATAATTTCTGAATTGACATTATTCATTTTAATCTCGCAAACTATTCATGGTACATCTTGAAGTCAAGTTATATCTTAATTGGTTTGAGATATGTTTGCATTTTGTTAACTTTAAAACCACTGATTCATTTTAAAAATATTTCAGTTATCTCTCTTATATTGCAGTGAAAAGTCTGATTCAAATTGATGTGTTTCCCCTTTCCCCTTTGTCTTAATGTTATTAAGATATTTTATATTTTGATTTTTTCCATTCTACAGATAAATGTGTCCCACCTAAAATAGTTTCTTAAATTGATAAAACCATGAAAATTATTGTTGTTCAAGTTACCATTAGAACATTTTGATCCTTCGCTGGACAGTGAATATATAAGAATTTCACAATTTTCAAAAGAAACAAAAATGCTAAAATTGCAGTTTTCAGAATAAAGATAGTCTTAAGTGCCATCTACTTTGGACAATTTCATTTTGTTGGAAGAGAAAAAGGAATTCTCTTCTTTGTTTTTAATAGCAATTGAGATTAGAAGTATGCTTTGAAAAAAAAGCAGTGTTTAAAAAAAAGAAGTTAGAATTTTTTTTTAAATGCATTACAATATAATTAAATGCATTTTTGATTTGACAGAGTGATTTCGTGCCCAGAATGCAATGACCATCAGCATTTATGTAACTGTAATTCCAAAGGTTCGGCCAGCTCGTTTTTGTGATTAACATGTGGCATTGTCTATACTCATGAAATCACAATGTTAATAAACTTAATTTATAAGATATAAACGTTTGTTAATATAATAAATCAATCAGTGGTTTTTAACTTCATATATATATTTGTGTGTATGTTTTTGTTCCATTTATTAAAAAATGCTCCGTTTGGTGTTGTTGATAACCATTCCTCCTATATATTCAGTGTGTATCGAGTAGTTCAGAGAGAGCAATATTGGAAGATTGAACAAAAACCAAAAATAGGATATTCTAAGAAACTTGCAAAAATCTAAAAGATGGACCTGAAATGTTTTATTTGTTTTACTCTTTTGATTCAATAAGTGATCTTCAAACAAATGAGCATTGTAAGAAACTAAAGCCAAAAGTTTGAATCAGAAGTCTGAACACTTGGCTACATGCCTACCATTCCAGGCCTGTAAAATTTTTATCAGGCCTGTAAGAATTTCTTCTACAAAGATTTCCCATAAATGAGCATAGGGGTTGTGGCTGCAAAAGTTAATTGTAAAGAACAAAGTTTACTGTGAAATTTTGTTGTGTTGTATTAAGTTGTTGAGATGATTTTGTTAATGATTCCTGTGTTTCCTTGTCATTTTCCAAAAAGATGCACATACATTTGTTCATTCTCATCATATATATATAACAGTGTGAAAAATTGTGTTTTTTGTGTAAATTCAGAAAGTGTTGCTATGTTTTTACCATTGCAAAAAAAAATGTGACACAATTAGTATTGCATAAATTATTGCAAACCAAATGAAACATTTCGGCAGAGTCATCTCCTCTTGATCAAGGTATTTAAACTTTTGTCAGTGCTATTGTCCCTTTGAATAAATACAATAGCTATTGTTCTCTGTGTAGTTTATTCACTCGACCTTTATATTTCTTCTAAGAGAAATCCATCACTTATTGATTAATTTACTTGTGTAAAAATATCATCTTCTAAGAAGATGAAAATACATGTATCAACTAAAAAAACTGCATGTGATGTTGTATTTATTCAATATCAATAATATATTTTCAATGTGTTCAATGTAAACCTTGATTTAATCATAAAAAAAGTTGATTTCTGACAAATTTTTATCATTGTTTTATTTGAAATTTGCAGCTTTTTTTTAATTTTGTTTGGGTATAGAATATATTTAAGAAGGCCACAATTTAAATATTGTCATTTTCCAGTTTTAAATTGTCAAACACACAAAAAAAAAAAAATCCAATAGGAACAATGTTGAAAATTTTTTCAGAAATCAACTTCTAATGGTTGAATCAATGTTTACATTGAACAGATTGAAAAAATCTTATTGAAATTGAATAAATATAACATCACATGCAGTTTTGTTAGTTTCCTTGTCATTACACAGGTAAATTAATCAATGAGTGATGGATTTCTCTTAGAAGAAATTTAAAGGTTCCAGTGAATAAACTACACAGAGACCAATAGCTATTGTATTTATACAATGGGACAATAGAAATGACAAAAATTTAAATACCTTGACCAAGAGGAGATGACTCTGGAAATGTTTCATTTGGTTCGCTATTAATCTAAATTGCATTTTAAATTATACCCTTATTATTTGTAACCTGCAATTCCTGAAATTTACTTTAATAATTAGTATTGTATCTTTTTTGCCGATAATTAAGCACAAGAATAAACACAAGCAATACTTTGTGAATATACAGTGGCATTTTAACATGTCTATCACATTTTTAATCATAACGATTAAAAGCTGTTACAATATATGGGTTATGTTTATGAAAGAATGAACTGGTCAGAATACTCCATACCTGAGAATATGATAACTGATTTTAAGTTTGATATTACAAGCCACAGCTGCACTAGTTTAATCTCATGTGGGTCAATTTTTAAATTGGGAAAACCTTAAATTTTCTTTGTAAATGGAATAGACATAAGATATGTACTAATCTTGGAATTTTCTTAAGTGAAACTGAAATTTAAATTATATTGGAAATGATAACAATTATGCTGTGTAATTTGAAATTTGGCAGAAAATTAGCTACTACGAAATGTTTTTAGCTTATCTACCTGTCCAACCAGGTACTGCATATACTTCTCAGTAATAAACTGTGACTAACACCCTATAGATATTAAAAATTCCTAGACACTACAGCTGAAATGTAAACAAGAGTATTGAAACTTAAATCAACAAAAGAAGTGATTATTTACTATATTTGACAATATCGTGTGCTGATATCATGTGCTGATTTAATGACAATGTAATCTTAGTGAGCCTCATGATTGAGCCATTTTTCTATAGCACCTTGAACTTAAAGTTAGATAAGAACAAGGCGATAAATACTAAGTATTTTGCTGCACAGCAGGTAAATAGTTTACATTGACATGTAATATTTAGCTTTTGACAAGTTTCATATTTTATTTTTCAGATATTAAGGAGAACAGAATAGTTGGAGATTACCCACCATTCCACAACATGCCACGACAATAAACATATCATGTGATTTGATCATGTGACAGACAATAGTTTTCTTTATTTCCTGCATTTTTTCTTTGAAATTGAACAGAAAATCATTTGACTAAAGACAAAGCAAATTACTTTTTTTCAATATTTGTAGGTTTTTTGGTAAGAAAGCTCTTGTTTGTTTTTAATATTTTTTGCATGAAGTTTAACTTTTGTATATTCCATTTCATGTCACAAAGGAAATACAGAGAACTTTTATAGAGCTAAAATTTCTAATTTCCCAAACACTTGTATTGCAAAAACAAGCACCCATACCTATTTTTGTATTATGATAATTTTGTTTGGTGTGTTTTATTAATTTTGATATTGAAGAGAGATGTCATTTTTGAAAATATTCTTATTTTATAACATTAACATAGAACATCCTTACATAAAAGTTTTAAATGAAATAAGCTATAATAGTGAGATTAGATATTAAACTCGTAGTTCAGAAGACCTGAATTTATTGCAATCCTGTTTTTAAATTTTCATATTCTGAAAGAAACTGTGATAGTGTGTTTAAACAGTGATTAATGATAGTATAAAAGTATGTTGTTAATACGCTGTCAAGCTAGAACATTGACAAATTTCTAATCTGATGTTACTGTCTTTCTTTCACAATCAACCAACTAAATGATTGTGTTTTCATATTTACTTGTAAAGATAGTTTGATCATCTGGTCACTTTGCACATAGGATTTTATTATATGCAGTCTGAAGAATTGAATTCATATAACTTAACTGAATCATATAAAATATACCAAAGATTCCTAGGTTATGGTTTATGTGTGCAATAATGAAATCCTTATACAAATAACAAAAAATATGTATTATAACTTAATTTTTAAAAACATGACACTACCTGATCTGGTGACTGTTCATTCTGATATTGTTGGATTAAAAATCATAATGGCCAGTTTGAAATTTACTTAAGCATTTCTGAACAATAGTCTTGTGTCAGTTTCATTGTAACAGTTCTATTTCACTTAATTATTATTAAATCAAACACTTACATTCTTCTTGTAGTGTTCTGTATGAGTTTTCATGGACCCCAGGAACCAATATTGAATCTACAGCCTTGGTAAAGTTTTATTCATAAGGTCTATGAAAACTTGTATCAACTTCAAATAAAATACTGTTAATTTGGTTAGAAATTCACGAAAAGGCAGCCTTCAGGTGACTAAATTTTTTTATTTGATGCCTAAGCTAGTAATATTTTATTTAATATGTATAAAATTGGAGAGTTCTGAATCATCTTTAAATACTGAAGCCTCGTACACAAGAGGTTTGGACACCTGATGAGAAAAAGCTAACAAATAACCATTAAAATGTTTTAGGTTTCTTAGGATTTGGCACAACTTTCAGAATTTCGATTTTAATGCTCTTCAACTTAGTTATATTTCATTTGGCTTTGCAAATGTTTTGATTAGAGCAGCACTGATGATTCTTATGTAGACAAAATATGTGTCTGGTATTCCAAAAAACTCATCAAAGATACCAGGCTTTTAATGTTGTATGCCAGATGTGCGTTTCATCTATATAGGACTCATCAGTGGTGATTAAAATTAAAAATAAAAAAACAGTTGGAATGCCAAATCAAATACTAAGTTAAAGAACATAAATTACTGTGTCAAATTCATTAGGAGTTTAGCAACTTTTATTTTTGTCTTATTAACATAAGTAAAAGTGTAATGAATCAAAACCTATTCATATAAAAGGGGAAAATGATAAAATTTAAGATATTATGGAAGGAAAACATAATTTCCAATAATATTGGTTGAACTAGTTTTATAACTATTTCAAGTTTCAATCAAAATTTCTTCTTGAGTTGAATTTCAGATGAATTGTTTGTCCATAGTCACTGTAAGAAATTTTGCTTCCATTCCTGTTTTCTTTTTTTTCATCTATTTTAATATGTATATAATGTAGTTTAAACTTTTGTTCATTCTTTTGAATCTCAGATATTTTTATTCAGATACGAACATAGTTTGACTGGAGATGTAGTTATTTTCCATCTCCTCATTTTCGTTTTATTGAAAAACAAAATGCATTTGATGATGAATAAGTCATAAAATGTATGTATAAATTACCAACTTTTTTTTTGTAGATTTTCCTTGTTTTCTGTGATTTGTTTAGTTACATATCTGTATATACACAAATGTAATGTATAAACAGAAGTAATGTATTTTAGTTTTATTTGATTTTAATTGATTTTTATTTTTTATTGAAAATAACACTTCATATAATAAAAGGTTTGATACAAATTTTCAGATCTAGACATACTTGAACTTTGCATTAATATGTATTTATTAATTAATGTTTGAAAATATTTTCCTTAAAAAGAAAAATACATTTATAAGATTATAAAAAATATTTTAGAGGAATTTTTTTATTTGAAAACAAAAACAAAACCTGTTGTAAAAAGGCATTACAAATTTGCAGTAGGTACTGATTATAATGAGAAGCACATTTTTTAGATGACAAGTGCATTGTTGAAATTGCAAAATTCTAATAAATATGAAAATATAACATTTATAACCTAGTGACTTTTTTTTACTTGATTGAATCATTTTCAGGTCATTATTCCTGTGTTTTTTTATGCACATAGCTATATATAGTAGATCAAAAGTATTCATGACAAGATGACATATTTTTAAGTAAACAAGTAATGAGTAAAAGTTTTATGGGTGGTGGAAGAGGAAGAATGACCAAAAACAAGAGGATTGTGTGTATATTACACATTATTAAATAATATTTAGTATCATAATTTGAAAAAAGAGTAAATTGAGAAAAAAAAATGGAAAGTGAAATTTAATTAAGAAAAATGTGGAATTTAAAGTGTCTAGCCAAAACAGAAAATAATGCAACACAGCCATTTTAAGAAAAAAATTTTTTTTTATTGCTATCAGTTCATCCACATTGTCCATATTTTTATGTGAAATAACAAAATTGTGTTTTCATGTAAAAGTCTAACATGATAATAAAAAAAGATGTGATCAATTCAAGGCAAGAAATTCACAAAATGGATGGTCAAATTTAACACTTTAAAAGCTGAGAGTTAACTACTTTGCTGTCATGGATGCAATTGTAGCTTAATTTTCTGTTTTGTCTAAGGATATCAATATGGTGGTGTATAAATGGTTTTGGGAATATAAAAGTCATAATGGAAAGAAGTTAATAGATATATTGTATGATAAGATGTAATTCAGTTTCTGTGATATGCTTTATAAAGATTGTATTGCAGATGGAAATTTACACATTTCCTTAGAAAGGAGTTTTTAAGTAAAGATTTTTGGTTTTTTTTATAGGATATACTTTTGGAAAAATTAATATCTAAATGGATTTTTCACATGTTAAAAAGTAATTTAGTTATATGTAAAAACCTTTTTAACTACAATATGCAAATCAAAATTTGTTTATAGTGTTAAATGCTTCTCTAAATTCTAGGCTTTAGTGGTAAGATAAATTTTGACTATCATATATGAGAAAAAGGATAAAAAATTCTAGTCTGAAAATTTTTTGCTTAATTTTCAAAATAGTTCATTATCCAATACATTAGGTGACTATGCAGCAGTTTTTATGTATTCATAGCATTCAGGGACAGTTGTAAATAGTATTATCTCTCCTTAGTTACTTCATTGAAACTGCACTGCATTATGGTAACATTCCAGTGCCAAAATTGATTGAAAGAGACTGGTGAATAGAACATACATTTGCATATTTATAAGTAAAATTTTAGGGATGCATCTTCTTGAAGACCCATTAAAATTCAGCAGACATCAACACTTGATTGATTAAGTTTGATTGACCACATTTCCATAGCTCTCCATACATTATACTTTCTATGCAGTGCAGTTTCTATGTTGCCAGAACTTTTACGATAATATAAAAGCTATAAAAAAGCTGAGAATGAAATTGATGTGTGTTATTTGTTACACTTTATATGGATATGTAATTACACATAGCAAACAGTCACTATTTATATTACATGTCACTTTATATAGAATAAATGTATTATTATATAAAGACAAATTCATGAAAGGTCAGTGTTTAATGTGATTGTTAGTTAGAATAAGAGATTTCAAATGATTTAGTGTGATTACCATGGTAACAAAGCTGTTACTCTAGAGTCAATTATGTTACAAGTCAGAAATTGTTAGAAATAAAAGCAGTTTATAAATGATTTGAGTAATTTTTTGTGTCATTGCCCGCGTACTTCACACTCAAAGACTATTGTAACAAGAATTTACACCAATGGAGAAATGTTGTATGCTAGAATAGAGTATTTTTATGCCCCTACTTAAATGGTATACCTATGTCCCTCTGTCTGTAACACATTTCTGTACCATTTTAATCCACAATTGCCAGTCATAGTTTTTGACTGCAAAATTCTGTCGTGAAAGAGCGCCATAGAAATCCTATATTCTGTTGTTAATTGTTTAGACATTAATAAATATGCCATGGTATTGTATAAAACTTATACCAAAGCTTTTTTTGTGATTAAAAGACAGTATCCAGTGATAAATTAAAACAAAAAAAATCATATTTTATTAATAAAGGGTCTATTTTTTGCAGTTAAATAGCTTTTACATACAGTATTGGATAAGCCTACCTTGTTATTCGAAATACCATTGAAAATTGTAAACCTGATTCAGAATTATCATGTATTAAACAAATAACTATTTATTTAACTATTTATTGTAAAGCAACGCTCAGACACATATATGTGTAATATGAGGTAAATATACAATAATAAACATGATTTATAATACAATGGTAACATTTAAAAACAAAAACAAATAAAAATTCATACAAATCAATATACATATCACAATAAGTTATTTAGCTTTCTAATAAAAGATGACACCTGTCTATATAAATTAACATTGCAATAAGATGTCAAAAATCCTTCAAAAACTTCAACCTAATATATGCTTTTATTCAAGCAACAGACTTCACTATTTTTGCCTATTAGATATAAACAAGGAATTATATGAACCTGGAATAATTATTAATTCTGAATAATTAATAAGAAATGTATGACGAAAACTAACCCAATTCAGGAGGGTCAGCCATGCATGCAATGCATGGCTAAGTGGGGTTAGTTAGTTTATACTGAAATATCAGTGAAAGTAGAATTAACCTTAGCTATGCGCGCATGGCTAACCCTATTAAGTTGGGTTAGTTTTCATCATACATTTCATATCAATTTTCCAAAATTCAAAATTATTCCAGATTCAAATAATTCCTTGTTTATTAGGCAGTTAAGCTGCCTTATGCGAGCACCCTAGATTTGTGTTCTACCCAATAAATGCTGAAATACGTGCCATTGTTATTATCTAGCTGGCTATTATGTTATTTATAACTAATTGGGCATTTTTTTAATACTTTTATTTCTGGAATACAAAAAATATGACCAGAAAAACCTTAAATGATCGTCGAACTACCCAAAACTTTTGAAGTTGCACATAGGAAGTAGTGCTCAATAAAAATCCGTACGTAGTTTATTATCCCCTGTGCTTTTGGCTACGATGTCAAAGAACAATTGTATGAAATATTTCATCGCCGAAAATCGGTAATTACAAGTCGTTTATATTTCCCAAATGGCAAAATGCGCATGAATATTGTTCATGTACAACAAATCTCTATGATAGAGGAAATAAAGTTATATAAGTGGGTGGTAATTTCTAACTTATATTGCCAAATAAGGTTGTTGTTATTTTATGAATGAAACGAGGTCATGAAAACAGATGCGGAAATCGACGTTGATGGGATATTTTAAGTAATGTGGACAACTCGGCCCCGAGACAAGTCGGACCGAATCCACTCAAACCGTCTAAGAAGACAACTTTGACTGTTTGTCAGATTTACTTAGGGTTTCATAAAAATATGAGACTAACATGTCTAGCGGAGCCATTAATATTTTGTTTGTGCATTGGGGTCTATTTAGGGGTATTTGGAGGGGCCTCAAGAAGGGAGGGGTTTACTATAGAACCCTATGGGATTTTTATATTTTTAAATTTTCAAATGACTCAGTAGGTGATAGACACATGCAGTCTTCAGTAATGAGAACAGGACAATACAAAAAATCAACCAAAATATAGGGTGAGTCCCTGGGGGTCATCCCAACCCCCTTCAATTTGAAGATGTACTTTTATCTTGTAAACCGTCGCGTTCCCCACCCCTAAACAATATATATACTTGAATGGGACAATAAAAGAAATCAAATGAAAATAATTTGGGGGAGTCCCCAGTACCGTCCCACCCCCTCCTGTTTGAGAACTTGGAAATAGTCAAGATCCCCACCCCTAAACCATATATATTCATGTATGGGACAATAAAACAAATCAAAAATGAAATATAGAGTGAGTCCCTGGGGTCACCCCACCCCCTCCTGTTTGAGAACTTGTAAACGGTCGAGATCCCCACCCCTAAACCATATATATTCATGTATGGGACAATATAACAAATCAAATGAAATATATGGGGAGTCCCTGGGGTCACCCCAACCCCTCCTGTTTGAGAACTTGGAAATGGTTGAGATCCCCACCCCTAAACCATATACATTCATGTATGGGACAATAAAACAAATCAAATGAAATATAGGGGGAGTCCCTGTGGACACCCCCGCCCCTCCTGTTTGAGAACTTGTAAACAGTCAAGATCCCCACCCCTAAACCATATATATTCATGTATGGGACAATATAACAAATCAAATGAAATATATGGGGAGTTCCTCGGGTCACCCCCTCCTGTTTGATAACTTGGAAATGGTCGAGATCCCCACGCCTAAACCATATATTCATGTATGGGACAATAAAACAAATCAAATGAAATATAGGGGGAGTCCATGGGGTCACCCCACCCCCTTCTGTTTGAGAACTTGTAAACAGTCGAGATCCCCACCCATAAACAATATGTATTCATGTATGGGACAATATAACAAATCAAATGAAATATAGGGGAGTCCCTGGGGTCACCCAACCCCTTCCTGTTTGAGAACTTGTAAACGGTCGAGATACCCACACCTAATATATATTTACTTGAATGGGACAATAAAAGAAATCAAATGAAAATAATTGTGGGAGTCCCCAGTATCGTCCCACCCCCTCCTGTTTGAGAACTTGGAAATGGTCAAGATCCCCACCCCTAAACCTTATATATTCATGTATGGGACAATAAAACAAATCAAAAATGAAATATAGAGTGAGTCCCTGGGGTCACCCCACCCCCTTCTGTTTGAGAACTTGTAAACGGTCGAGATCCCCACCCCTAAACCATATATATTCATGTATGGGACAATATAACAAATCAAATGAAATATAGGGGGAGTCCCTGGGGTCACCCAAAGCCCTCCTGTTTGAGAACTTGGAAATGGTTGAGATCCCCACCCCTAAACCATATAAATTCATGTATGGGACAATAAAACAAATCAAATGAAATATAGGGGGAGTCCCTGGGGACACCCCCGCCCCTCCTGTTTGAGAACTTGTAAACAGTCAAGATCCCCACCCCTAAACCATATATATTCATGTATGGGACAATATAACAAATCAAATGAAATATATGGGGAGTTCCTCGGGTCACCCAACCCCTCCTGTTTGAGAACTTGGAAATGGTTGAGATCCCCACCCCTAAACCATATACATTCATGTATGGGACAATAAAACAAATCAAATGAAATATAGGGAGAGTCCCTGGGGACACCCCCGCCCCTCCTGTTTGAGAACTTGTTAACAGTCAAGATCCCCACCCCTAAACCATATATATTCATGTATGGGACAATATAAAAAGTCAAATGAAATATATGGGGAGTTCCTCGGGTCACCCCCCCCCCCCCCCTCCTGTTTGATAACTTGGAAATGGTCGAGATCCCCACCCCTAAACCATATATATTAATGTATGGGACAATTAAACAAATCAAATGAAATATAGGGGGAGTCATGGGGACACCCCACCCCCTCTTGTTTGAGAACTTGTAAACAGTCAAGATCCCCACCCCTAAACCATATATATTCATGTATGGGACAATATAACAAATCAAATGAAATATTTAGGGAGTCCCTGGGGTCACCCCACCGCCTCCTGTTTTAGATCTTCGAAATGGTCGAGATCCCCACCCTTAAACCATATGTATTCATGTATGGGACAATATAACAAATCAAATGAAATATAGGGGGAGTCCCTGGGGTCACCCCACCCCCTCCTGTTTGAGAACTTGGAAATGGTCGAGATCCCCACCCCTAAACCATATGTATTCATGTATGGGACAATATAACAAATCAAATGAAATATAGGGGAAGTCCCTGGGGTCACCCCACCCCCTCCTGTTTGAGAACTTGGAAATGGTCGAGATCCCCACCCCTAAACCATATGTATTCATGTATGGGACAATATAACAAATCAAATGAAATATAGGGGGAGTCCCTGGGGTCACCCCACCCCCTCCTGTTTGAGAACTTGTAAACGGTCGAGATACCCACACCTAACCATATTTATTCCTGTTCATCATTTCAAAAAGATTTGAATGACATACAGGGTCAATCTCCTTGGTGTCACATATGCATATCACTTTACTAGACCAAACCAATATGAACTGGACTTTGCCCAATGTCAGGAGACCATGGGAATGACGAATTATGGGGGCTTTGTTTGGGAGACTTCGTAACGGCATCCTGTTACAAAAATTTTGATGCAAAAAATGAGTCTAGATTATTGAATTTACTTTAATTGTTTATTAAATTATTTCTGGGCCTATCATAATTTTCATTTATGGCTCATTTTAAAGAAAACATTTAAATCTTTCAAGCAGTGAGTTGCTTTTGAAAACCTTGATGAAATATTAATTAATTTGCCTTAATAATCAATTCATTTATTGAACATAAATGTACAATATACGAATGTTTAATGTTTGTTGTTTCAAATCTTTAAAAAAAATTGAAGCAACATTGCCACAGTTTTCATAATTACGTTTGCCTTGGTTTTTGGTTTACTGCCTACAGCGCTTACAGTGCTTTGATATATTTACAGCATCATTTTGTGAAATATAAGTACATGTCTAAGAAAGATACAAATAACCATTACAGTATTCACAACATTATTATACAGCACTGTACTAATTCAATTCACTTGTAGCTCCCTTCACAGCTCCTCCTCCGAAAAAGGTTAAAAACACAACACGTG